TTTCTCCTCTGTTCAAAACCCTCCAGTGACTCCCCAGCATGCTTTGTACCAAATCTAAACTGCTTCCCTTTAACTCCAACCCCTACCCACCTCTTTCACCCCATTACCTTCTCCCCTAGTGCCCTGTCCTCTGTTTCAGCCACACTGGCCTTGACAGTCAGGCTCACCCCTCACAGAGCCTTTCCCCCCATGCTGGGTTCTGGCTGCAGCACCCTCCTCCAAGCTCTTCTCATGGCTGGCTCCTTCCCACTGTTCCGATTCAACTCAGGGAACACTGTCTTAAACAGGGCTGCTCCCACCCCCATCAGGTTGTATTGGAGCAACCCATCTTATCCTGAAATGATCACATGGACTAGTTGCCCCACCCCACCTCCACCCCCAGTTTGGAAGTTCCATGAGAGTAGGGAGGGACTGCATGTGTCTTGTTCATCATTTTCTCTTCAGAGCCTTGAACAGAGCCTGACACGTGGTGGGGATTTAACAATACTAAGTCCTTCCTGAAGCAAAGAATTTGCTCATCAACTACATTCAAAACAGACTCACGGATGTTGTAAACAAACTTATGGTTAACAAAGGGGGAAGCCAGGGGGAGGGACAAACTGGGAGTTTGGGATTAACAGATACACACCACTATATAAATAAACAACACGGATTTACTGTACAACACAGGGAACTACATTCAACACCTTCTAATGACCTGTAATGGAAAAGAATCTGAAAAATATTACATATGCACATATATATTTGTATAACTGAATCAATTTGCTGTACACCAGAAACTAACACAACATTATAAATCAACTATACTTCAATTTTTTTTAAAGAAAAAGTGTTACTCCCATATTGAAAATACAAATAATACCACCTGGAGATGAATAGTGAAATGCTAAAACAGGCTTACTTGTTCTTTCAAGGCCCCCAGAGCTACTAATATTAATCAGTGAATGTGGAGATCAGTTAAGTGCACCTATAAGCAGCTACTCCATTTAAGTGTTTAAGACACTTCGGAAGCTACAGTGATGAGTTACCCTCAAAGAACTGTGTTTAGAAAGAGAAAGAAATTAAGACCACTGCAATCTGAAGAAGCAAATGGTGAGCACCGTGGGAAGCACAGGATATACTCTGGGCCACAGAGAAGTGGTAATGGGTTTAACACTCTTCCTCGTGAAATGGATGTTAGGATTCCTGGGAATAGACCTCAGTGGTTTTCAAATGTGTTAGCACTGTGCCCTTCAAGAGTGGTGGGACAGGCGTAGTTACTGTTGACTGTAGTTGTCACAACAACTGGCGCAGGGACAGATACTGGTGTCACTGGGTGAGCAGAGGGCCAGAGCTGCTAAATGTCTTGCAGGGCCTGTACAGACCTGCACCAAGAAGACCTCTCACCCCAAACACCAGCACAGAAATGGCTCGTACCTGTCCCCTTAGAACATATATAAGGTCTTCAGTGACTTCCAGATTCACCTTTTTAACATGTTGCTTTTTAGATCACCATCTCTGAGTTGGTTCTTCCCTCTGAACTCTTTTCATCATTTTGACCCAGATTCTCAGGAACAAAACCTGAGTCCAAGCAAGGCCTGCCAGAATGTCTCTTTGGGATCGCATCAGAGCAGGCTTCGAAATCCCAGCCCAGAGGAAAGGTGCCACGTCAGGATGCCGCTCAGGTCCTGGTCAGTAACCCTTCCCCAGACAGGGCCACAGCACTTCTGCATGTTAAGAATATTCACATTTCAGAGTCAGTTCTTCTGCAGGTCTGACAATTCCCTAATTACACAATAAGACAAGAAGCTAATCCTAAATTAGCATCTTCCTCCATGAGGGATTGCTGCCCTCGAGTAGGGGTCTGGGGCCCACCAGGTCAGGTGTGTACCAGGACGTGGGGGATGTGACCCCAGCCAAGGAGTCAGCACTGCATGGTTCTGTCTTCCGCAGGCAAAACCCAGGCCAAGTCTTCTGGCATTTTAAGAGAAGCTCTCTGTTCACCTGAAATTATCACAACATTGTTAATTGGCCATATCCCAGTACAAAATGTTTTGGTGTTAAAAAAAATTAAATTAAAAAAAAATTTTAAATTTTAAAAGAAGAGAGAAGCTGGAAATCCTGATTTTTATTGGACTCTTTGATTTTTCAACGTTGGCCCCTAATTCAATTGCTTTAAAAAAATATTATACAGGCTGACGCACACCCATCTAGGGCTGAACTTGACCCCAGACTCCCAGCTTGCTCCTTCTGCTTGGTTGCATGTACCCGGTGCTCTCCAAAGTTTTAGGAAATTTTAAAACAAAAGTTAAATATACTGACAGTTGGGCAAGGTTCTCAAGAAAGAGTGAGGCAGGGACAGGTCTGGGGACCCAGGTAGGGCACACCAAGGAATGAGGACTGACTTTGACCTGCTTGTCTTTGCTCAAAAATTCTCAACCTTGCCCTCATTCTTACTGCATCAAGTCCCAAGTTCCTTTCAAGACTCTTTAGAACACAACCCCACCCCCACCAGCTCTGTATTTAATCATGCCCTGTGTCCATCCCGCATTCTAGCCAGGCCAGTCTCCCTCGAGTTCCTTCAAACCCCTCTCTCTAAATGTCCTCTCTCCCTACATAAAGCCCACCCTTCCAAGCCTTGCTCACATCCCACCTGGTTTCTGAAACCTCCTCTGTGACATGAAATGGTAAAATGTTTCCAAGCTCAAGGGCTAGTGTCAACCAGACCCAGGTTCAAATCCCACCTCTGCCACTGACCAGCAGGGTGATTTACCTAACCTCTCTGAGCTTCAAAAGATAATAATGCCTACCTTACAGAATTGTCAAGTTTATGAAATATGATGCAAGTATTTAATGCTCATAAATGCTCAATTAAGGTGAATGCATATTATTATTATGACTGGCCTTCTTCTGCTGTTAAGTGGTCCAGCCTTAGGGTGTCTCTTCTGAGCAAAGCACCACTGGATTCCATGTGGTCCACATCTGCTCAGACTGTGCCTCAGGCATTGGTCTACCTCAGCCTCCGACTTGCTATTAATACATAGCATCTTACAGCTTCAGGAGCATGCTGGCTATAACATAGAACTGATACAGGCCCAGCCACTAAGAGAATTATACAAGTAACACTACCCTGGCTCTGAAACAGCTCAGCCAAAACCCCTCTCTCTAGCAAAAGTAGGAATGCAGGCTAGGAAGACAAACCCATAGCCAGGCTCGGTGGCAGAGCCGCTTTAGCATTTTAAACAAGTTTCTCTCCCTCACACACGCATGCACACACAGACACACACCACCACCACCACCACAACTGCCACCACTATGAGTTAGCTTCACATTCCCAAATCTCTGCACCTCACTTTTCCTTCTGACGCTGAGGATGACACATGAAGCCACACTCTTCACATGAGTGTACGGCAGGGAACCCAGACAAAAGGGCGACACTGCAGGTGCGCTCTTTGGCTAGGACTACACGGAAAGCCCTGGAGGAAGGCATGGCAACCCACTCCAGTATTCTTGCCTGGAGAATCCCATGGACAGAGGAGCCTGGCGCGCTACAGTCCGTGGGGTCGCAAAGAGTCGGACAGGCTGAAGCGACTTGGCGTGGGCGCCCACACATGGAAAGCCCAGGTGCCGTCACAAGAGCCAAGATGGTCTTTGCTGGTTCCGGACCTCAGCCCTGTTACTCCACCTGCAGTTGTGCTCTGATCTATACCATAGCTGGGATCCCCTGACACCCGTGCCAGCAGGCCTATTCCACTTGCTACTTTTCTCTGGGCTTAGCAAAAGTCAAGGTAAAAATAATTTCATGCACGTTATTCCACACTTCAAGCTACTCAATGCTTTGAGTGACTCCTCCCGCCCAAACAGAGAAACGGGGCACAGAAAAATGTGACTATTGGAATGCCACATTCTTTCAAAAGCAAACAGAAAAAACCAGAACTAGAGAGACCCCATCTATACTATCCCAAAGAGTAGTTTTCTCAGCATGAAGACAGAGCCCTGTCCGAGCATAAGTTTGCTTTCTCAACAGAATGACGTTCCAAAGTTAGATCGAGGCAGGTAGGAGAGAACACAGCAAAATGGGCCTGATCTTTGAGACCACCTAGACAAGATGCAGGAGAAAATGGAAAAGTCAAAAGGGTGACCGGTCCTCATGCTGGAATCCAGTGTTCCAATAAAACTCACTCCTCGGAGTTAGCAACATTCAAAAGTTCTCCAGTAACGGTTGGCTTTAAAGAAAATCTCCAAGTGCAGGAGACCACGTGTAAAGAAGAGGCTAGTCCCACGCACCAAGATTACCTGACTTCTCCGCGTTCGGGGACAGCGGTTTCTCCTACCGCCTGGGCCTCTCCAAGCTGCTGTGCCCTGGCCCCGTGGCCCCCAACCCAAATTCAGAACCCCGTGCCATGGGTGGGCCCTGTCGTACCAGTCAGATTGAGGAGAGTTTTATTCCACCCGCGCTAGAAACCTCAAGCGATACTCTTGACAAATCCCTGAAGCCCAGGACCGGGTCACAGAGGGGCGGGGGCGGCGGTGCCTGGCTGCTGGTTAATTGGAGGAGTGCACCGGAGCCGGGGCGGGCGCGGCGGGGGCGGGGGGAGCTGAGCACCCGGCCTTTGGCCTGTGGACGGTACCAGAGAGGGCGCCTTTAGTTCCCATTAGCGAGACGCCACTGTCAGCGTACCCCCAGGGGAATGCCTCGAGTGACCTCGGCGGCCGAAGAGAGCTCTGGCGTGGGTGCCAGAGCCGACCCTAGTGCGGCGCCAGGGCCGGGGGAGGTGCGGCAAGGTCTAGGGTGAAAGGAGAGGACCAGGGGAAGAGCCCCGGCGCATCTCTGGAAACCCTGACTCTGCAGGGGCAGGCGGAGCGACCCAGGCCTCCTGAGCATCCCCTCCCCAATCCCCGCCGTGGGTCCCGCGTGGCCCTGTCTACAGGCACCCAGCTCCCGTAGGCCAGGCCGGCCGGCCCGCCGATACGCAGCGGGACGTGGCTGCCGCTCTGCAAGCAGAGCAGAGGGCATTTACCGGGATCCTGGGGTGCTGCTGCGTCTCCACCCGGGTCTCTGCTGGCGTACCCCAGCTGCCGCTACTGCCGCCGCGTCTTTCCAGTCGCCGCAGTCTCAACCGGCAAAGCTCCCAGTCGCTCCCTACGATTGTAGCCCGCGAGGCCAGCTGTTGAATGGCTCGCGTCGAGCGCACGGGGCGCAGAAGCGTCCCCACCGCATCCAAGTCGGCGACGCAAGCGCGCGTCCCGGTGCCAACGCCCCGTGCGCCCCTCGCCCCGCCGAGGCCCCGGCTAGCTCGCGCAGCCGCCTCCCGGCTACTGGCTGCTGACTCCCGGCTTCAGGCTCGCCCGCCTGCCAGCCCACTCCCCTTGGTGGGCTTTAGCCTAGCCAATTGCCTTCCCTCGCGGACTCCGCCCCCCTCCCTGCCATCCCTCAACTTGCCCTCAGGACCAATGGCAACAATAGACTAGTCCCGCCCCTTAGATTCCCCGGGGGCCAATCGCCTTCTCCTGAGAATCAATTCAAGTAACCCCGCCCCTCTCGTGCGGCAGAGCCGGAGCCAAAGTTTATCCCACGGTGCGGTTGCTCCTGAGGATTGCAAGGCTTTGCCCGGGCTCCCCCAACCCCCGACCCCTGAACGAGTTACAGCGATTTAGAACCTGCAACTCACCTGGTCTGCAGACCGCCCCGCGAGCCAGTTGCTTTAAATAAAGTAATATAAGAAAGCGATCGGGAGAGGTACTGTGCACCTCATTCAGCCCTGAGGCAAGACTGCTGAGAAATGTGCACCCGCTTGGCCAGAACTTACACATCACAGGGTCAGCAGGAACCTCGAAGGTCATCGACTGACTCTACCCTCGCACTGATTGGTTTCGCTTTGGGTTTTTGGTTTCCTTTTCCCACATACAGGGTCCCTGCCCTCTAGCCTGAACAACTTCCAGTGACAAGAACACATTAGCCCGATAGACCGCTGCTTGTGTCTCTGCCTCATAGCTTGAGGCTAGGTGTAACCGGCCCCCTGCTAACTTCACACAAAACCAAATTTGCCTCTCTTCCCAATGGTGGTCCAACAATTTGAAGACAAATCTGGTCCCACAATTCTACCAGACTAGAGTCTGCTCCCGGAGAAGGCAATGGCACCCCACTCCAGTACTCTTGCCTGGAAAATCCCATGGATGGAGGAGCCTGGTAGGCTGCCGTCCATGGGGTCGCACAGAGTCGGACACGACTGAGGTGACTTAGCAGCAGCAGCAGTAGCAGAGTCTGCTCCAGAGACCCAGGTTCAAGGCTCTGCTTTCAGTTTAAGCCAATTCCTTTATATCTTTCAAAAGTAGAAGGTTGGAACTGGGTCTAACCTCCCTCCCACCCCCTGCAACCCCAGGGCACAGACCCTTCTGCACTGTCTTGTCCCTTGTCCAGACACTAGATTCTTCTTCTCTAGCTTCTTAAGGATGGCATTTGCTTTCTTGACTGCTTTCACATGGCTGATGCATATTAGATTTATTGTCAACTCACCCCGGGGGCTATAACTCACTTCTGCTGCTATCACAAGACTGTTTTCTACTTAATTAGCTGGTAAATGTCATCGGGTTTTGATTGGGGGGGGGGGTGCTAATTTCACTCTCTTCTATGGAGGCCTCTTTGCTTGCTCATTCTGTCCTAAATACCTCTACATTCCTGCTTGATACCTAACTGCCTTGCTCTTGTTCCCATCCTGTTTGCACAACTGCCAAAGAGCTTCCTAACCTCTAGAGGCCCCTTGCCTCTAGCCTTGCACCCTCCTGGCTGGCCCCTCAAAGCTCCTCTCCTCATCCATTTTATACCAGAAGTCAGAGTTGTCCTTAAACACAGATATAATCACACCACCACACTCTAACTTCAAAGCCCATCCCAGCTTCAAACCCTTTTTTATTTCCTTTCTGCTCTCCTTTGCTTTCAGGATAAGATCCAAAACCCATGGCAAAGCATATATCAAATCCTTGGGGATCTGGCCTCAGCCTCATTTCCAGTGGTTCCACCTCCACCACAGAATACTGTACACTTCAGGTCAAAAACTCCCTGTTGTTTTTCAAATGATCCATGGTCTCCAACACTTCTTTGCCTTCGGTACAAAGTCTAGAATAACCTGCTTCCCACACTCCTAATCCTGACCTGCAACACTCTGATGTCTTTTTTTTAAATTGAAGTTGATTTATAATATTGTGTTACTTTCTTTTCCATTATAGATTATTATAATATGTTGAGTATAGTCCCCTGTGCTACACAGTAAGTCCTTGTTTATTTTATATATAGGAGTATGTATCTATTCATCTCAAACTCTTAATTTATCCCTCCACCCTTTACCCTTTGGTAACCATAAGTTTCTTTTCTATGTCTGTCTTTTTCTGTCTTGTAAATAATTTCATTTGTATTATTTCTTTAGATTTCACATATAAGTTATATAATATTTGTCTTTGACTTACTTAATATAATAATCTCTAGGTCCATCCATGTTACTGCAATTGGCGTTATTTCATTCTTTTTTATGGCCAAGTAATAATATTCCATTATGTGTGTGTGTATCTGTATATATGTGTGTGTATGTGTGTATATAGATATATACACCACATCTTTTTAATCCATTTATCTGTTGATGGACATTTAGGTTGCTTCCATGTTTTGGCTATTGTAAGCAGCACTGCAATGAACATTGGGATTCATGTTATTTTTTTGAATTATGGTGTCTGAAGAAAAGCTATATGTTATAAAAATGAATCACTTGGAATTACACAATTATAGAACTTCGGTATTAAAGGGGCCTTTTAAGCTAATGTAATCAAACCCCACCCTAGATGCTAGAATGACTGTGTGGGCAGTTTTTCAGGTTCTTTACAAAGTTCTTAGCTCCCTGGCCTCTGAAAACAGGTTTTGTTCTTACTCCTAAATATATAGCTTTGCCTGGCTAAGTGCTTTGAGGGGCACCCAGAATGCTTCTCTGTCCATTTTTTCCCTCCAGGCTTAGATGTGTCCTTGGGATCCTCTCTTTCAAAATGCAGATCCCTTTTGGAAGATCCAAATGCTAACATTTATTAGTTATTAACCCTTAGCATAAGGTAAGCAGCAGAGCTTAATTTAAAAAATTAAGCAAACTCCAGGAGATAGTGTAGGACAGGGAAGCCTGGCGTGCTGCAGTCCACGGGGTCACAGAGTCAGACAGGACTTAGCGACTGAATAAGAACAACCAACATGAAGAGGAGTTTTCAAAGCATTTTCATTTATTTTGTCATATTTGATCCTCATGGTATAACCTCAGTAAATATCCTGATTTCCATTTCACAGGGGAGGAAGCTAAGGTTAATCTTGGTTAAATCACTCCTTAATGTATTCAAACTCCAGCTCTGCTATTAACTTTCAGCAAGTAACCATGCCACTCTAGCCTCAGTTTCCCAATCAATAAGTTCAAATAATTTGCTTTCCAAGGTTTCTTTCAGCTCTGTCTCTAATCCCTCATCTCCTGCTAGCTGAGATCAAGGAACTGGGGGCCTGGGCATTTTCACAGTGGCAGGAAATAATTTTGGCACTAGAGGTACATTTTGGAAAGGACAAGCTCTGGTGGAATGCCAAAGCAGGCAGCATGAGAGCAGTGAATACTAGAAGCAAGACAATCTGAGAAAGGAAAGACAAGGGGCCCTGAACTCCAAACTCACTTACTTGCTAAGCTATAATACAACCACTGGGATTCCAATTGTGAACTCAACATTCCAATTTGTTTCCTTTCATGATTAAAGAATCTTCTCTGCAAACTTTAATTAAAGTTAGCTTTGGCAAACAATTTTATCATATTCAGACAATAATTACTGCAATAAATTTCATAAAGAAATCTATTGTGTCCGCTGCTTATTCCACACAGCAAAAGGGCCGATAAGAAATTGCAGCCAAAGGAAGTCATTTGGAAGGAAAACCAACAGGCAAATAGATGCATTCTAATAATTTATGCAAGTCCACTGGTGACACCCTCCCCCTCCCCCACTCCTTCATTCGCTGAGGACTAGAGGGGCACCGAGAAGCAGCCAATCTAAGGGCTATGCATTTGCTTAATCTTACCCCCAAAATACAGGCTTTATGCCTAATATAAAAGGAATTTAAGATGCCAGGTGAAAGTGATGATCTTTAAACTGGTTGTGCAAGAAACTGAAAGCTAATTCTTAAGATGATAAGCCTACTTAATAGTTTGTTCTTTTTGGAGTGATTAAAAACCTGTTTAATTACAGTAGAATCAGTTTGGGCTTCCAGACACCTAATCACTTTTCCAGTAAATAGCTCTAAAGTCAGAATAAATAACACTAACCTACTTCCCTGAGTTCTTACAAGGATTAATTAATTGATTTTAAAGGGTTTCGGAAGTTTCAAAAAACAGTGGCCTAGGAAATAGGAGACCTAAATTTAGTGCAGACTCTGCCCTTAATAGCTGTGTGGCCTAGGTGGCTGATTTTACTTCTCTGGGGCTTGGCTTCTCCACCTGTAAAATAAAGGGGAATTGGGCTAGACAGTCTCAGTACTTTGGGTCTAATATTGTAATAATACTCTAGGATTCACCATCATTATAGCCTTTTCTCTTAGTAGCTTAAGACGGCAATAATCTACTTTTGGTTTTCCAGTTTTCCTAAAATTAGATTCCTGGAAAAATTTCCAAAATGTCAGCCTGTTTCCCAGACACAGTCACTTAGGCATACTGACCCCAACAAAACTTTCCAAGTATGAAAAGATAAAAATATAATAAAGATCCAGAAAGAAGAGAAAAATAGAATCTAGACTTTCACACTCATGAACAAGCAAACGGAAGCCATTTCTTAGTAACTGCAGACTCACACTTTATTCTTCCCAACTATTTTCCATGCTTTTCTTTTCCAAAGATTTTATTGCTCTTTCTTTTCCCTAACATAAATCTGGGGCCCTCATTACCAGCTCTAAAAACACTCACTATGACTATTTATAAGAGGACTTGAGATGTTTAAAGGGAAAATAACATTATATGGAGTGGAAGAAAAGCAGAATACAAAATTTTATGTACAATATAATCTCAACTAGGCTA